CAGGGTCTTCGGGCTCAGGGCTTTCATCTGGGTGGCTGTTCAAGAATTTAAATGAGGCCACCATAAGATGGGTATGTAGTTAATAAAAGGGTATCCGTATTATGGTAACTTGACTTAAGTTTCTCAACAGCAGCCCAAGAATCGTCCAGGGGTTTGTAGACGTCGAAAATTTCATGACGTTTGGAAGTTGGAAAAATACCTCCAAACCCTAAACCCTGAACTTAAGGAATAGGACAGACCCTTGCGTTTGTTTTTACTATCCCGGACCTATCGTTGACGGGCTGTTGCTTGTATGTTGCTCATCAACACTCCCTTCTGCTAGCGTCATGAAATGTAGTAAGTAGTTTTAGTTGCAACATTGAAACCCATGTCAATATTGTATTAGGAGCATTGATTGTGGCTCATATTAACTGTAGTCTAAACTCCTTAAAGGCGGCTATCTAGGGGCTTATGTACTGGAGCATTATAGGGCTTATTCGGGGGATGCTAGGAGTTTAGTCTGTGGCTCATATGTATCCCAAACTGAGGAGTTCTTGCCAAGGATGCAATGCAGTTCCCAGTTCCCGAAGTACCAACATCTTGGGCCTGGTCCTTAAGCCCGGAAAAAATAGGAGGGCTTTGGTAATCTCAACCCTAAACTGTAAACCCCAAACCTCCACAATAAGGACCCTCGAAAAGTTATGTGATAGGCGTATGTCAAAAATAGCGTTCCCCCTAGTATGCGCCCCAAAATGTAGGAACTTTCATATTAGCAGCCTTCAAAGGTATCGAACCCTAAACCCTTAAACCCTAGGTCCTAAAATCTAAGCCCTAAGCCCTAAAACTCTAAAACCCTAAACCCTAAACCGTGATTCATGTTGAGTCAACCTTGTCTCACTTCTCCGTGTCGCGAATTTTTCAAACACCACCCACCCCCTGATACAAAATGTTGCCCCAAATTTGTAACTGTAGCGTATGGTATCATATTGTTTACTTATTTCTGGGAGGGATGATTTCGAAATATTGCTCCAAGTATGTAATTGCAGTATACGGTAGTAAATCAGTGGTACTTCATTATTAGGGCGGGTGGGGTGGCTTGTTCTTTTTTCCTATCCAGCGGTGTTATATGTGAATCCTTTGACTGGGCTGCTGTTAAAGTTAGGAGCTAATTAATCTAAGTTACTATATTTGGGATATCACATTAACTATGGTAGCTCCATTCTGGCTCCTTGACAGCAACCCTGTCTGACGTGTCATCTAAAGTTGGAGCTCCTTTAGGGTGCGTGTCCCGGCAGTGGCGGGATCCCTCAACACTAAACCCCCCAATCCTTAAACCTTAAATCCAAATCTAAATCCTGAGCCCGAAGTCCTAAACCCTAAACCCCCCAAACCCTAATCCTGTAATGGAAATCCTAAGTGGTAAGCCCTAAACCCTAAATCGAGGTAGTTCTCTGCGTGAGCCCCACACTTGGAAACTAGCTAAAGCTTGCCATGTATGCAACACATATGGTAGGTTGTCAAAATTATAGTCCCCTTTTGGGTCCCCATAATGGCCCCTAATAGTTAGGGCAGCCAAAAGTGGCCATAGTTTGGACCATCCCCCCCGATGTTGGGGCCTGGTCCTTCCCAAACGGGTAGGGTCCGAGCCTCAAGAGCCTCGCAACCCAAAACCTCGAAGCACCCAAACCTTAGTCCAGAAGCTCGGGAAGCATACCCCAAGCCCCGGACCAGAAGCTTGATCCCTACACCCACAGAGTAACCAATGTACCTATTCAACAATTGCTTTCATTTTTTTTGGTAGGCATAAGCTTGCTCTAGGGTACATGTTCTGCCTACACTGCACTCCTCTCGAGGTTATGGTGTCCCATCGGTCCGGTGAGACAGAGGAGGGAGGGACTCAACGCCCTTGGATACGGTTGCTGTTTGAAATATATAGGGTTATATAGGGATGTGTAGGGTTTTAAGGGATATATGGGGTTATATCGGGAGAATGGAAAAATGGAAGCTACTATTGAAAACCCTGCATGGCCCTAAGCGCCTTATGCCTCAGGAGACGTGGTATTGCAGCATACTAGAGTTCTGCAACATGCAGTGTCAATGGTATGGTTTTCAGCCAGAACCCCATGACAGTAAACATAGAATAGCCTGTACGTAGCTTCTCACCATGACTTATGCGCCTGCCATAAAGTCCTAAGAGTACTAAGTGCTTCTTCAAAAGCTGTGGGTCCGTCTCCTCGGTTCTCCATGATGGCATGATGGCTCTAAGGTTAGTTTGGAGGATATGTAGAGCGCCTTAGCTTTGAGAAGCACACTCAGCAGCAAACGCCACAGCCTAGGTGAGACATCAATAATAATCAGAATACACATCCCCGTAGCAAATAATAAGCACGCGCATGCTATCAACAATTGTCATAATTCGTCTGAACATGCAAGTGATGTCAACAACCTCCATCGCTTGAGCCGAATAAGTTGGTTCCATTCCAGAAAATACTAGCGATAGCAAGCACCTAGGTCTGCAGTCTTTTGGCCTGCAGCCCGGGGCCTTTGCGTGTCAAGACGCCTTATAAGGGCTTGTCTCGGCTCTTTCTTTCTTTGCTCTCTGGTGGGTCATCTTTGGCTGCTTTCTGTAGGTGTACGCCGTTAACGTTTCAGGTGCCGGGGTTTCAGACCTTGAGGGTCGAGGGTCATCAAGGGCTTAGGGCTTATGATTTTCTTGGTGAGACTTTCGCAGTATTAACAGGCGTGCTAACACTGCGATCCGACAGCGCAGAAGACGCAGTGCCATTCTTCGAAGTGACCCTTCACCCCTTGGGGTCCCCTTGTCAAACTTCAGGTGAGCTATAGTCCAAGGTCCTTACAGGGGTTATATAGAGGCTTATTCAGGTGAGTATTCTAGGGCTTATTAAGCGGGATACTCGGAGTTTCGACTACAGCTCATGTTGAGGGTTATGGATGCGTTTGAATTCGACGAGGCAAAAAGTTACATCACCACGCCCTCATACTGTTTTAAGTCGCCTGATGTTCCCATAGATACCTAGCAACTCTTCAGAGTATGCTAAGGCTGCATGGGTGTGTCTGGTAAAGGGGTGGGACCTGTAAGCGAACTAGAAGAAGCCTCGTATTCGATACTTGGGCTTCATTATTCAGTTTAGATCACAAATCCTCAACCTGCAGCCCTAGGCCCTCAACCTCAAGCCTCAAGCTTGAAACCCAAACCCCAAACCCCAAACCAATCAGAACCCTGAACCCTAAACCCCAAACCCTAAACCAACGCCCAACCCTAAACCCCAAACCCTACACCCTAGAGAGGATGCCTTCATTGCTGACCTCGTCGTGGGCCTGCGTACCGGCCAGATCAAGACCGGGGCTCCTTGCCGCTCGGAGAGGCGGGGGGCCTAGGGAAAAGGCTCCCTTTCACGGGGCATTTAGGGATTGTTTAGGGTTGAGGGATTTATGGCTTGTTTAGGGTTGAGGGATGAAGTCAAAGGGTTTTACGGGTTGTTTAGGGTTTAGGGATGACTTTAGTTTAAGGGGTTTCATATGTTATTTAGGAGTTATTTAGGTATGAGTACAGTGGGTCTCCTAGCTAGGACTTCCTTCTTGCAGTTTTTCATCCTTTGCATGCTTAAGGCACATGGAGCGGTGTGAAGAAAACTTGACATACGACTTAGGGCTCACCCCTGCATTTCACTACCTCAGGTCAGTTTTTCAAATTTTCAGAGTAAACCCTAAATCCTCAACCCT